GAAGCTGATGCTGTAGACTCAGCACAAGCTGGACCCAGGCCAGTACATTAAGATGGAAGCACCAGAGAGGCCCTGAGTGAACAGATTCCTAATGGATAAGGAGCAAGAATCTTTTTCATCTTTTTCATCTACTTTGACCTCTCTGCATTATCTGGAACCACTGGCCGTAGGGTAACAGCTATTTCACCTAACAAAATCACTCTTTACCCTAAAAGTGACACAAGGGAATGGAGGAATGGGCTAAAATGGCCTGAATTATTCTAGACACATGTATTAAATATTGAAGGAAAACATCACTTTTTCCATTAAATTTCTGCTTTGTTTAGTCCAACAACTATCAAGCATGGGGCAAGCTGATTAAATAATCTGAAGTTAAAATACTAGCAACATAAAAGAAAAAATGCAGGCTTGCCATTGCTTCACAGAAAATAAATGAAATTGGTCAGAGTTTGGGCAAGATCGGTGTATAGTGAAGAAAACCTGGCAGAGGTAAGACAGAGAAAAGATATTTTGAGGCAATGACCTTGTGCCATGTGTGCAGTCCAAATAGACCAGTTCATTCTGTGCAGTTCCAGGCGAGTGCCTGAATTTCTCATTGTGTCTCATAGCAGCATCCATATCTCCATTTAGCAATGTTTTCCATTATCATAATGTATCTACAGTTATTTATGCTTTCTGTCACCTCCTGGCTGCTCTATGATCCTGGGCAGGAATCCCACAGAGCCCAGGAAACTCCAGCGTGTACGGAATGCTCGGGCACGGCTCTCCCGCAGCACGCGCTGCCGTGAGCGAGCACAGCTCACAGAGCCTCATTTCTGTTCTGCTCTGGGTCCTTCACACTCTGTAATTACCCTGCTCTTTGTTTTGGAGGGATTTTGATTGTCTGGCACGGCAAAGTGGGACAATGGCAGATGGGAGTTGCCGGGTCTGTAGCTGTGAACTCCCACAGGTTCTAAGGACCACCACAAATGTTACCACACTCCAGTGCAAGCACAAATTGGGTTGTTTGTGCCTCTGTCTTTTGTGAAATAAATATACAGGTTATATTTTTGGACAATGAAAATTTTTCAAGTTAGTCACTCCATACTTGTTCCCCTAGGATGAAACTCTTCCCTAAGTGCAACTCAGCCTCTGGGCAAGAGGCTGATTGTGGAGCTCAGTGGATGCCAGCAATCAGTGGGGTGGATGATGCGATGAGGAGGGTGTGAAGGTGTAACAACAAAATTAAATCCTGTAACATCACAATTTGGGTCCATACAGAGGAATGCAGCATCAAGGAAGACAGAACAACTGTCCATCCCTGCTTTTGTCTGGGATGAACGCTCTGTGGTGCCCCTTAGCTGAAGGAGCTCTGCAGTGGAAATATTCTGCTGTTTGCTCCACTGAGCTCTTCTCCTCATTGCAATATTCTGGGCACTTCACACCTTTGTGGAGAGGAGACACAGACAAACAATTCATCATATCTGAATTCAAATTCTGGGCAACAATTAAAGAATAAGCACTAGTGTTAGAGGAATCCGTTTCTCTAACATCCATTCCTCAGTGCAGCCATTTCAGGTGTGAAAAGAGTTTAATCTTTAGGTCTATTTCCCTGAGGATTGACCTTATATGTTAAAAAAAGCCCAGTCTGTAATTATAAAGTAAGTGATAAGCATCAAATGGATTGTTACAGACCCCTTTTGTTGCCTTTATTGCATGATAAGAAGCAGTTGCTGTGTAACCTTGAATGTGGGCAAATAACTCATGCTAAACACATTGCGACAAAGATGGCATTTTGGCAGGGCTTTGATGTAGGTCATTTTATTACCAGGCTGAATCAAACTACAAACTGATGTCAAACTCATGCCAAGAATGCTAATAACACACTGATCAATGAGGTGCTGGATTGCTCAAGTGAAGTGGTCGAGGGAAAATGCAGACATTAAAAGTCTGGAATTCCAAAGGTTGAAGTGCTTGGGCTATTATACTGGGAGGAATTATATTCCTTGCATTAGGACAAGTTTTCTTTACTCCAGGGGCCTTTAGATGAGTGTTGAACAGGACAGTGTCAGAAAGTATATACTTATCTTTATTTTTCTTGACCTTTATGTGCAAGTAATTTTTATAGTTCCATTAACTAGTAGGATCATTTGCAAACCACTGTACAAAGTGTATTATGAAGAATGCCTTGGGGACCATTGTATCCTATTATGTTGAATGTTAATAGAATGAAAAATTAATTTAAACTCTAAAGACTTGAGCAAGGCAAGACTTGCCTTTTATAGGAGAAATTCAAAATTTTATTCGCTATGGTAAAACTTTAGAGCTGTACCCTAATTTGACCTTTATAAGCCTAATTTGGATCAGTCAGTGCAGGAGTCTGATTGTTTGCCACTTGTAATAAAATTACTTCTGTCAAAGCTTCTCAGTTTAAAAAAGGGGGTTTCCTGTGACCCCCACATTTGGAATTAGTCACTCGTGAGCTGCTACTTGCTTAGCAATTAATCAACCAGAGATGAGAGAGCCCACGGTTCCAAGAAGCATCTTCACCTTACTTGAATCTTTAATTGCTCATTAAACATAGTCATCTTCAGTGATTTGGGACTTCAGAACACCTGAAAACAAGGATACAGTTCTTTATAATATATTTTTTATATTTTTCATGTGACTGAGTGCTGTAGAATGAGGAGCTCTCTCTTGAGTCTTGCTGCTAAGTCTCACATTGCACTCTTCCCATAGGACTGCAGCTAGGCAAGTGATCAAGGAAACTTCATTGCTTAATTAGTTACTATTATTTCATATTTACGTTAACATAGTTGAGGTGTGATAAATTTGTGTGGGAATCAACTAAATTTAGAGCAGTAATGTGCAGGAGTTCTGTTACTTGGAAGAGTAAATATCCAGTCCCTCATCAACCTTCTTACTCATAATGTTTGCCTTGAGGTGAGAACGTGGCTAAGTTAAAAGGGTAAAAAATGCTACACATGTTACGAGTGATTTATTATTTCAAATGTCCTTGCAGGCAACAGCAAAACTTCAGTTTTGACTTCCACATCTCTTATGAAACTGGGATGTCACATCAATGAGAAATGTATTCCCAGCCAAATCTGTGCAGGGCACAGTTCCCAAGGTATCCCTATCCCAGCTAGTTTGAATAATAACCTATAAATTTGTGACTTTTCTATATGGGAGCTTGTTCTGGATATCCAGCCAGCCATTTTCAAATGATTGTAGGAAAATATGTCTATTTTTATTGGAATATCCTGTTTATCTAATATCCTGTCCTGAATTTCATCCCACAGCTGTAGAGTAGGTTGCTTCACTGTCTCCAGAAAGCCTAACTCGAGTAAAATAAATGCACAGAAGATTAGGACAATTAGTGACTAGAGATTAGCAATGAATATTTCATGGCCACTGCAATACTGTCTAAACACAAGATATGGAATAAGAATAAATTGCATTTTTGACATGCAGCAGACGTAGAAAGGAAATGATTAATTTAGAAAGATCTTGCAGTCATTTTAACGAGGCAGCATTCTAATCATTGGTCATGTGGGATCTGCTGGATAAAAAGCAGGAAAGTTTGTCCCCCAGGATTATTGTAAGTTCACCTGCATTTTGATGTTGAATTTAAATATTTTGTGAACAGCTCAGTGGGTTTGGTCTGTAATGACCCAACCAGAGAATAGGCAGCAAACCATTTCCATGAGCTTTGATGGCAACCTGGTGTGGGTCCAAGGTGTGATCCAGTCTGGGAGTCCAACCAGAACGTCAGGTGTAGTAGGAGTCACTCAAAGCAGCAAGGCAGTGGTGGAGGACTTCAGTGCAGGAGGGATCTGGGAACTGAAAGGGTTCCAGCTTTCATTCCACCTGCAGATCAGGGAAACTTCCAGAAGCTTTGCTGGCTGATTGCAAAGGAATTGGGTCCTTCAGCTCCATTTTCACTGCAGCAACCCAAAGCTACTTCCCAAATCAGCTTTGTTAGCCTTGGTTTAAACAGGAAAGAATTATCTTTGTCTTGGGATAAGTCGTTTTAGTCCATCTTCAGACAATTCTTGTTTAACTCAATACCCATGTTTCCCATCTGATATAAAAACAGAGGATATACAGCCACAGATTATATATGATCTAAATAATGTATTTTTTACATATGTACATACAGTGACCTCATTGCCACTGCTTCATATTTTTAATAACTCATACATGTTGGTCTAGATGGAAATTATGTGTTCCAGCTTGACCATCCGATTTGAATCTCTGACACAAGGAGTTTCTGGCAGTGTTCTCAGTGGTAAAATGGAAACAAGGTAGTAAGTAACAAAGTTCAATCTGTAAAGCAGTTATTCAGTGCTCTCCAGGTTCTTTAATATGTGATGGGCCCACACTGGAAACTGGCAGACACTGAAACAGCATAGGAAAAGAGAATCCTAAAAACTATGAGTTGTTCCTCAGCCAACCTGTTCGTCTTGGTTTGAACTTGAGGGTATTGAACTTCCAATTTTATATCAGTGACACAGACAGCTGTAGTTCTGGAAAACTGGCTGACCATGAAAAGACAAAAATGCATTTACAGCCACTGCATCATGGAGTAAAATTATTTATTTTCCTGGAGCTGTTTTTAAAACTAAATCTATTTTAGATCTTAGTATACTTTCAAGACTGAGCTCTATTTTATCTTATGAGCAGTTGCAATTTGAGTGCAATGTAAGAAGCTGCTGTTCTATAATAAATGTCAGTTTGGTAAAAACTTTATTACAAAGCAAAACTGCTAACCAAAGGAATTTCTGGTGTGTGAGTTTTTCATTACAGGGCTGAAGTGACAAATGAATTTATTGCTGTCAAGAGACCTATATTTTATTTTGGTCACTTAGCAGTAATTAAATCTTGTGAGTAATTGTTTTTTGTGCGTTTACTTTGTTTAATATTTTTAAACAAAATATTGCTCTCTAAGGCATTGTTTAGGGTATGTTTAGCAACCAGTTAATATGTTTACAATGCTGTGTGTTGTTTCCTCTCAACAGCACTGTGCACAGAGGAGTGTGTGCATGGAAGATGTGTCTCTCCTGACACGTGTCACTGTGAACCAGGCTGGGGAGGGACTGATTGCTCAAGTGGTGAGTAAAGATACCAAAATACGATAAAAATATGTGTTGCTATTAAAAAACAGGTATTATAAAGCAGTGGCTTTAGAACTTGGATGCTTTGAACTGAAAAATGAGGATTGCCTGCTGGTTATTTTGTAAGAGTTCATATTGGGTTGGAACAAAATGACCTTTAAGGTCCCTTCAACCCCAATCATTCTGTGGTTCTATGAATATGTGAAAATACCCTTTCCCAGGATAATGACATTGGACTTTTTTGGTTGTGTTTTGCAAAGAAATGTGAAATGAAGTGGAGGATGCTGTTAATGCTTTTGGTCCGGTTATTATGATACCAGTACAGATAATAGAGCTCTATAAAGAATTTTTGCTCTCTCAAATCTTTAGCACAGCACATTCTTCATGAAATACTCTGTGGAGTGCCAGAACTGTTTGGAAAGCGCTCTCTCCAGATAGAATTCTTGTCCTGTTCAAGCCAGTGGGAGTTTTGCCATTGACTTTTCAGGCAGCTCAGATTCTCTCCTCTGACTTACAATCCATTCCTTAAATCCATACTGCCAAAGTTAAGGAAATGGGAGTAGGGAGTTCTGCACCTTTTGCTGGGGAATTAATCCACACTTGAGGCTTTCAATTCTTTCAGCTGGTAAGGCTGTGTTTGTTAAACTCTGTTAATTGGGAACGGTGAGTTGAAGTGGTTGGTTCATGCTGGAATGGAACAAGCAGCACAAACATCCGAGTGTGACGTAACACAGGCCTGAGACATTATTGACAAAACAGCAATAAGCTTGATAAATGGAGTCAATTTGTGCATCAGGCAAGTAAATAAAGCTGCATGGGTAGAAATGCTGTGAAATGAAACTGAATGGATGCTTCGTTTTGTGTTGGCTTCCCCCCTTTCTCCCAAATTGATTGGGATTTTAAGGAAAAGAAGGTAACAGAGAAGGGATCTATAGAGGGAGGAGCTGGGAGGGAATGGGAGGTAAATGTGCCTGAGGGTGAACACAACCAGAGCCTAAAGGCAGCAGGGCAGATTCCTGGATGGGTTCCTGGGGTTTTGTCTGCAGCTCTGCTGAATATCCCCTTGATTCCAGCAGAAAAGGGAGGGGAGCAGGGAGGAAGGATTTTAGTCCAGAGGGGATGTGGATATTCCAGCCCTGGGGGTGTTCAAGCCAGGCTGGACAGAGCCCTGAGTAACCTGGTGTGGGGGTGGCATCCCTACCCATGGCAGGGGTTGGGATGAGATGATCAGTGAGGTCCCTCCAACCCAAACCATTCTGGGATCATATGATTCCAAGGATGGAAACAAAGGCCATACTACTGTTTTTGAAGCAACGTTTTGGGATTACCTGGAATGCAGACAAGGGAAAAACTGGGCATCATGATATATTGAATATCTATCTTTAAAATATTTTAAAAAATAAAAATAATACCATCAATTGTGAGATACTGTACAGATTCTCAGGAACTCATGTAATGTTTTTATTATCTTAGTACTAGATTTAGTTTATCCTACCAGTGAGTATTTGTACAGTGCATGTGCATTAACAGAAGTTAAAAATAATAATAATAAAATTACTATGACAGTAAGGACATATAGTTACAGATTACACATTTATACATATGTGCACTCAAAGAGTAAAAAGCACTTCATTCTGTGTAAAAATGGCCAGGAAAGGATAAGATGTCAAAGTACAGAATGGTCTTGTGGACTAAAACTACCCAGTGACTCTTATTAAATTGCTCTAATCTTGCAAGTGGAGATAAAAGAAAAAGAAGGTTTTTCCTATATTGAATATTTAGCTTTTTAAAGTAATTAGGAATATTAAAGCACTGACAATGATTGAGATAGAAACATTATTCATAACTTTTATTTCCGCACTGGGCAGGGATCCAGTATATTTCATTTATGAGGTTTCAGTGGTGGAAAGAGAATTGTTAGCCAATTCCTAAATTAAATATGCCCTGTTAACTTTTATAAATGATAGCCCAGGTTTAGCTTCAAAATTTAAGCTTTCATTTTATTAATATAATTAGTGTGTTTGCTGGCCTGTAGTGCCCATTGTCTTTCATTCCACTTGTTATGTGCTGGGTAACACGTGTTCCTGTCCCAAGGTCTGATCCCACAGGCTCTGCCCAAAGGAATGCTCCTAGGAGGGAAAGTCAGATTTACTGCCCCTGAGGGCTGCTCACCTTTGTGCTTGACACTAGAAATTTGAGTAACTGGAGTCTTCATTGCTAGGGAACTTTGTTTAAATTCAAAGGTTTAAAGGAACAGATTTTAGCTGAATACAGCACATTGTTACTCCCAGTATTTCCAGGGAAGGGGGAATCTGGAAGCTTTGCCTAAGTGAGGTTAGTTACATTTTTCTGATACATGATCCATGTGTTAAATCATATTTTACTGTTAACCAGTTATAATGTAGAAAACAATTTTCACTTCTACTGGAATAATGTGTCACCTGTACCTACTTTCTTTCTGTTCTTTCATGACTGTTGGGCAACCAGTGACGGTCAGGTGTTTGCAGAGCTTGAGGCTGTTTGGGATGTTCCTGCACGGGGTGCTTGGGACAAACCGAGGCTGATGGTCAGTGGTGCCATCCCAAACCCATGGGGTTCAAGAACTTCCCAATACATTCCTCAGGATCAGGGATTGGATGCAGTCACAGGCATATTGCTTTTCATGTTGGCTGTTTGAAGTGCTTTCACTGGGAGAGGGATTGCCAGCCAAAACACTCCCTTTAAATTTAGCAAAGCTCCCAGGAGCTAGAATGGTTTCCTGAGTGATCTCTCCTGAAAGCACCGCTGAGAAGGGGAGCCTCCCTGACACTGGGGGTCGTGTGTTGTCATTTACTCAGGGGAGATCTAAGGGTGCTCACTCTTCCTGAGATACATTTCAACACTCTGCAGACACAGCCATTATGACTTTCTAAAGTTATATCTAACTTTGACTTGATTTGATGGGTGAAATTCAACCATTAGCAAAGCTCCAGCACAAGGTCCAAGTGTCACCTCAGAACCAGAAATTGGCTCCAAATATTCTTCTGTTTTGGTGTGCCTATGCCTGGAGAGGGTCTGAATGCTGACACTGAGCCCAAATTTCCCATGGAGGGGCAAAGTTCTGGTGTAAAATAACAGTTCCCCAACACTATCATTCTCCCTTGGCTAAAATATTCTCAATTAAATGTTTTGAATAGTTACAGCTACAGCCTGTAGTCATGCAAACAATTTAATCATCTTGCTCAGACTTGGTTTCATGCTTTCCTAGAACCCAGCCTATAAGATAACAGTTACAAAATTTGCTTTTCAGTGCAGCTTTCCAGTGACTGATCATGGTACATGTTAGAGTTCATCTGTTGTCAAGGTTAAAATAACTTCAGATGAATTGCTAAACAATTATAAAAAACCCCAGTGCCATATTCAGCTCTGCATGTCTCTGTACCTGTGTTTTACTGCATGCTGTTGTACATCTGTCCATGCCCACAGGCCTAGCCTTGATTTCATGCTATAAAGCTGTAATATATTAAGGCTTGATTACCATAACAATAAAAAGAGAAGTAATGAGGTATTAACTAAAGAAGCTCTTGAACAAAATGTTTTCAGCATTTTAATGATGCTAAAAATTAAAAGGAAAATTCTTTTTAAAGACTACTGCATACCTTTCCCTTCCTTTTAACTTGTTTTATTGAATCATGCCTGTTTTGTCCATGCAATCTGGACTGTTGGTCTCTTAAATACAAAGCAATATTGCAAATGCTCTGTGTGAACTTACCTGCTCACCTTTCCAATTATTTTAAAGCAATTAGCTTCAAACAGTATGATATACTGGCTTGAAGTTGTGGTGGGGATATAAATGCCTGTTGGTGGTCACCTGGCCTCTTCTGGGTCTTGCTCACAGCCATCTGTATTTACAGGCCCTTAGGCCACCATCCAGCAAAGAATTTAAGCTTATCCTTACACAGGTAGGACTTTTCATCTGCCTTAAGTATTTAGGTGGTTCTTAAGTTAGTTTTGAAGAAACAGCTAAAAAAAAACTTAAGTGAAATCTATACAAAGCTCTAATTGAAATCATCAGGCATGAGAGGGATAACGTGGTGGTCCTTCTTTCAAGATGTTAATCAGATAGATTATTGAAGACCATTTTGACTTTCATGAGCATTATTTATTGTGAGGAGGGTCACAGAAATCTTTCCAGTTAGTAGGACATTCCCAGAAAAGGGGCAACAGGTAAAAAAAAGAAAATTCAGGGCCGAATTAAAAGTGAAAACCTTCCAAAATTGTGCATGCCAGGCTGAGAAATTTCCAAGTAAACAAACACAGAGGTTGTAGTGAAAAAATAAAGCGGTTTTCAAAGTGTTTGATTTGTTATTAGTTTTGAGACAAAACACAGTACTTTCCCAAAGTGCAATTAAAGAGATGTTGGCATAATAATGCCAAACCATTTTTCTTGCTGTGTCACCTGGGGGAGAGAGATTATAGTGCTGCTGTCTGGCATAGCCTGATCCATAACGTATACATATGGATAACATAGTTTTCCTTGGAAAGGATGTTTTGTACAAGCTGTCATTAGGAACAAGAACCTATTTCATTTTTATCTCTTTGTCAAAAATAGCCAAGGTCATAACAACAGGCTGTTGTAACATCACAGCAAGATCACTTTTAAGGGTATAGCCCTGGAGCAGCTGGAGTGCCTTAGTCCTGAGACTCGTGATGAATGGGAACACCAGATTCTGTGCTAAATCTGAACAGGGTTGTTTGACATGCCATGAAAAGCAACAGCAGAACTCTCAGGAGAAAAATGAAGTGTTTTAAAGTGAGGCTGTGGTGGTTTTGAGGCTTGATTTTGGCATTCATATTCTCCAACTGCTTTGAACTATTTCCGAAGAGGAAATGAAGTTCAAAGGAAAGATCCCTGATTCATGAATCAGACTCAAACAAAATTCATGTGGGAGGCTGATCTGCCAGAATCATTAGCTGATTTTGCATCTTCAGATTTTTAGGACAGGATTGACCAGGAA